AATAAAAATGTATTTAAGTTATTTTGTGCAGTACAAAAGACACATTTGGTATACTTTTTAAATATAAAAATATACAGTAGTACATACATAATGTGTTTGTTTGCAGTGAAAAGTTATGGAGATGATTAAATATTTGTATGATTACATATCTGACTCAAGTCTTGACAAAAATGTTATTTTTATTAAATATATTAAAACACTAAAATGACAAATATAAACTACAGAAAAGCTGTTCAAAATATAAACTGTGTACTGTGACTAAGAACATGGACACAGTGCATAGTGTTATGATTATACTGTGTACTTGTGTGTGGTGGTAAGAGTTATCGTACATTTATCATTAGAGGTGAACTGGTTAATATCTCGTGATATTGATTTTAGGCCATATTACCCAGCCCTAACGTGCACACACACATGCCCAGAGTCAGAACAACTCTGGATGTCTCATCTTCAGAGGGTCACCCCTTCTCTGACTACAGCGGACCAGTCGAGCAGGCAAAGCCCCGGTTGCCTGGTATCCAGCTTGGATGAAGGATTGTCCCCTGAGAACCAACACCCAGAGTCAAACCTCTCAGTTGTTGATGTTCCTCCTGGTACCACTCAGCAGAAACAAGGGTAAGGTGAACGTTTGCTGGTGACAAAAGGTTGCTCAGTGGAGTTGATTCTTATCTTTGTGTGAGCTTGATAAATCTAAACGTTTCCTCTTCCTAAATGAATTAAACTAGGACCTGGTTTAAATTCTCATCTTAAGAAAACTTCTCCTTATTCCAGCCTCAAAACCCCTTTTAGTGTTTATTTGTTTGTTTGTCTTTGTTTGTTTTATGTGCTCCCTGGTCATTGCTCTAATATTTCAGTATTAACCTGGTTCCACATGTAATTATTTCATACTTGCCATAGCGTGTAAATACATTTAATCAGTAAATAAATGACCCATGGAGAACTGGTCAACAGAAGCTAATGTCTGATTTTTGTGTTTTGATAAAAGTTTTATTAACTTGATAAGAAATAACTCATTATTAATTTGGGTAATGATTTATTGTGAGACTGATTATGGTAAAAATTACAGTTTTCCTTCTCTTTCCTGTGTACTAATAACAAAATAAAAGGGAAGTGGTGCCTCAAGGAAAATATAATTTATGAATTTAATAATCCATAAATTATCAGTAGACATAACCATTGTTTAGGTTGTCTGAGACAACCTATTTTCATTTCGGACAACCAGATCCTGTCTCCTGGTTGTTCGGTGGACAACAACAAAAAAAAGACCTTGATTAAAGTTCTCTGCCGCAGGTGTCCGTCATTTGTAAAAATGAAAGGGAGAAAAAACTTGGTAAAGCCGAACAGAACACTAAACTGTAACTTTTAATAAGGTCATGTACACAGTATACTCCTATTTAAGTGAAAATATTTGACCTATGAGCAGAAAGAAGTTTATGAATGTTGGGTAAACTCTAGATTTTATTAGCAACATTTTTGCTGCTTTATCCCTGAGTCTTAAATACTCTATTTCAAAGAAGAGAATGAAGTTTTATTCATGCAGATCCTGTCAACCAGTCTGACTGAGAACAATTAAATATAATAAACTTTGTCTACAGAACAATATACTTGTTAAATTACATTTTTCTTGAGATGTTTTGGACAACCAAAATGTTTTGCGGACAACCAGGTTTTATCAACAGGTTGTCCGCTGGACAACCTGAAAAGTATCCTTATTTCTACCCCTGGTAATATACCCAAAACCCCTACGCAGGCATTATCTTTGATTTAACAAATGCATAAACATTCTTAGTTAAATGAAAAATAAATCACGAACAATGGAGATTATTCTGTCCATTATCTGATTAGGAGGAAGAGAAGTTCTCTTCCACGGTTAGAATGACCTGTCATGGCCTAAATAAAGTTCAGAGTGGAACAGTTTCTGTCTTTTTTGATGGCTCATCCGAGGCCTGCTTTAGAGGCAGAAATTCTTGTTTTCCCACTCGAGGTGACCCCTACACGATACAGGAACTGTTGTGAACTGACAGCGATGCAACAAACTGTGTTTATAAGGAACACTATCTATCAACGGGACAAGTCTGCCAAAAGAATCTCTGATCTTTTGCGGTTCGTCTTCATTCTTGCAGCTTCAAGCCTAAAGAAAGGTTTCTGCCATGTGGGACCATTTTGATCTCATATCCATACAACCCCTTACGCACATGTGCGGGGTGGGAGTGTCGAATCAAGAAATGTGTGACACGCAGGAGACTGAGCTTTTCCACAGTTTCCTTTTATTTAACTTTTTCAACATGGTTACAGTTTGTTTTGTTTTACATCGATGGGACTTTGTCTACCTTTCCCTGTGACTTTTAAAGTGAACTGTGAGGAAATCGTAGTATCTAAGGACTTGATCCAGTGATGATGATGGAGCAGAGAACCACTCTGTCATCACGGAAGTATCAGGAGAAGCAGGACTTTGTACAGTGAGTCGTGATAAAATCAGAAAGAATCATAATTTACAGACTATTTACATATTTTGTTCAGTCATATGTTTCCAACATGTCAGTTTCATTAACGTTTCCTATAATGCTTTGATTTACATTCTGTATGCTGCAGGTTGTAGCAGCATGTTGTTGCACTGTACAAAACAGAAGAACATTAAAAAAAAACACACACTGACACAGCAGGAGTCATCTAAATGTCAACCAGCAACACTGAGTGGAGTGGTGAAGTCAAAGTTCTGTTGATAAAAGATGTAATGCAGAAAAACAGAAAAAAAAAAACTAAAGAAAAAGAAAACATAAAAGGCAACAGAACTCCCCACATGGAGTTTGAAACACTTAATGCATGGAAACAAAATAGAACAAAACTTTTTATGGTTCTGGTTTGCTCCATAACTAAGTACTTCAGCTATTTTGAACCAACAAGATTAAAATAAATATATTACCTGTTGCAGATAGCTTTTTGAACAGTTTCAGATTGGATAAAAATAGTTTAATTTTGACAGAACAGATGAGCTAACAGTCCAAACACAACTACAACTGAGACATGGCAACACTGATGCTATATAAATAAACTGAACTAAAAAAACTGGACTAGTTCCATCTTCAAACAGTTCCAGTCTCGAAAATGTCATAAAAAACACTAAGTTTTATGGTAAAAAAAATGGCAATAAAATGTAGTACAGCAGAAAACCATTTGGGTCCTTGATGTGTTTAGACTAGCCATTAGCCCATCAGTTCTGTTGGAGGTTTAAACAGAGGCCGTTCTTCACAACAACAGATAAGGTTTGAATTAATCATATTTTTTTACACATAATTCCACTTTAAAATGACCAGGCATGTCTCTTTGACCCCAGTCCAACAGGCTTTTCTCACAAACCTGAAAGTTATTTTTAGACAGTAAAGAAAAAAGATTCTAATTACAGATCTGAACTAATAACAAATATTGTGTGTGGTTACAAACACCTGAATCAAAAGGTTAAAACATAAACTGAAAGTTAAAGGAGGGGAATTTAAAAGTCCTGTCCCACTAAAATCAGAATCAGAATCGTTTACTGTCATTCACACACAACATCAAGATGCAGTGCAGAATGAAATTTGCAGTTTGGAACATCTGTGCAGAGAAACACACACATGACAAACATGGAGGAACGAATGTCCAGGGTCTTTCGCAACTTAATGCGCTACCTTTGCAGTTTAGAATACACACAATAGGAAGGGTGAGTTAAAAAAGAGCTTTGATCCTGTGTTTTATACAGAAAAACACACAAACATACGCTCAAAAAAACTACTCTGCATACAATGAAGTCAGCTGGGGGGTGGGGGGTCAAAACACATGGTATGGGGAAGGGTTCAGCGGAGCCGGTGACATCCAGGGTAGTACTCCATGTTGGAACCTATCAGAAGACTTCCAGAGTCCAAACAAGTTGTTTTCAGTCAAAGCACAAGTCACTAGAGTTCAGTTCTCTGTCTCCACCCAACATGGCCTTCAGACCGATCCAAGCACAGGCGAAGCGGGTCGGGATGGGGGGGTAAAAATCATTTGTCCTTGATGATGTGTGTCACAGACAGAGACAATGTGTAAAGTTAGTTTCATTTTCTTTGAATACATTATTGCTCTGGATTTTAGCTGACTGAGTTCTGACGTTGAAGTTCTTGTTCTGAAAACATTGTTCTGGCAGAACTTAAAGGGTTAACTCCACGGTTTCAGAACTGCTGACTGACCGAACAGAAGACACCTGAATGTTTTTTCTTGGTTTCTGAAAACGTTTCAGCTCTCATCCAAAAGGCTTCAGGTTGAAAGTTTCGTTGTGTTTTCTTTGACTCTGCAGCAGCTGAGCTGCAGTGATCCACGAGTTGTTCTGGACAGACTCAAACATGGTGACCAGTAGAGAACCTGAAACCATGAATCAGTTCTCATGAACCGTTGGCTCCATGATGTGAGACGCTGTGTTTCCGTCACACCACTGTACTGATGCCGCTGTTCTTGGGTTTGGTGGGAGGTGGCGAGGGGCCGTGGTTGAAGGAATATGCTGGTTGGCTGTGAGATGATGGTGGGTGGTACTGGTGAGGGGAGTGGGAAGGAGGCGGGGTTTGGGTCCTGAGGCAGACCTGGGCATGTTGTGGGTGCATGGGGACCGACGTGTCCGTCTCCACATGGTGCAGGTTGGAGGGGACAGGGGTGGGGCTGGGGGACTTCCCCCGCCTGGTGCTAAACAGAGATCCGAGCAGCGAGGAGGAGCTGTGCAGGGACTGGCCACTGTGGCGTGATGGGCAGTCTCTGCTGGAGGGGGGTCTCCGCCTCATGTAAGGACTGCTAATGATGGAGCCCTGAAAAGAGACGGTTTTCAGAGCACTGTCACAAAGAGACATAACACTGTCCAAATAAAACTGTACATCCAACCACAACAGATCAACAACCTGCTGAAACACAATTACAAAGGTTGGAGGAAGTTTCATTTAGTTGTATTTTGTGGTATAAAAAACACAGAGATGACACCAAACTATTTGATAAAAAAGTAGAACAGCTTCTGTGATGGAAGCTCAATAATTAATGACACTTTTCATTTTGAACACTTGGAGCTACAAAGTGTTGTTAGTAAGAAATGTTAAGATATGTTTTTGTGTTTTATCTGTCATGTCATTATTCCAACACCTGGTGGTCTTCAACCACTACTGAGAGTTGCTGTTGATCAAGGAGGTCTTCTGGACCAGAGGCTGGAACTACTTTTTACCAGAGGTTTATATAACCCCTGGCAAATGTATGGAATCACCAGTCTTGGATGAGCACTTATTCAGACATTTCTTTCTATAAAACAAACTCAGATCAAAAACATGATACAATAATAAGGTCATTCCAAAGTGCAACTTGTTGGCTTTCAGGAACACTCAAAGAAATGAAGAGAAAACATTGTGGAAGTCAGTGAATGTTACTTTTATTGAACAAGCACAGGGAAAAAAATATGGAATCACTCAATTCTGAGGAAAAAAGTATGGAATCATAAAAAACAGATAAACAAAAGACCATTCAAAATACATCACTAGTATTTAGTTGCACCACCTTTGGCTTTTATAATGACTTGCAGTCTCTGAGGCATGGACTTGAGGAGTGACAAACAGTATTCTTCATCAATTTGGTGCCAACTCTCTTTGATAGAAGTTGCCAGATCAGCTTTGCAGGTCGGAGCTTCTTGTGGACCATTTTTTTCAATTTCCACCACAGGTTTTCAACTGGGTTGAGATCTGGACTATTTGCAGGCCATGACATGGACTGAATGTGTCTTTCTCCAAGGAATGTCTTCACTGTTTTTGCCCTAAGGCACGATGCATTGTCATCTTGGAAAATGATTTCATCACCTCCAAACATCTGTTCAATTGAAGGGATGAGAAAACTGTCCAAGATGTCAATGTAAACTTGTGCATTGATAGAAGAATGAACCACAGTCATCTCCCCAGTGCCTTTGCCTGACATGCAGCCTCATATCATCAAGGACTGTGGAAATGTGGTTGTTTTCTTCAGGCAGTCCTCTTCATAAATCTCACTGGAACGGCACCAAACAAAGGTTCCAGCAACATCACCTTGTCCAATGCAGATTCTTGACTCATCACTGAAGATAACTTTCATCCAGTCATCCACAGTCTATGGTTGCCTCTCCTTAGCCCATTGCAGTCTTGTTCTTTTTTGTTTAGGTGTCAATGATGGTTTTCTTTTAGCTTTCCTGTATTGAAATCCCATTTCCTTTAGGCCATTTCTTACAGTTCGGTCACATACATTGGCTCCAGCTTCCTCCCATTTATGCTTCATCTGTTTAGTTGTACTTTTTCGATTTTCAAGACAAATGGCCTTAAGTTGTTTGTCTTGATGCTTTGATGTCTTTCTTGGTCTACCAGTACACTTGGCTTTAACAACCATGCTGTTTGTATTTGGTCCATATCTTGGATACAGCTGACTGTGAACAGCCCACATCTTTAGCAACCATGTGTGAAGAGTTACCTTCTTCAAGAAGTTTCACAATCCTCTCTTTTGTTTCAAGAGACATTTCTCTTGTTGGAAACATGGTTCTTGCCACTCCACTTCGTCCAGCAGCCCTCCAAGATGTCATGACTGCAGGTGTTTTTAACAGCAGACTAACGAGCAGATCTAATCTGAGGCAGGTGTCCATTTATGGAAAGTAAATTGACTGGGTGTGTCCTTATTTTCTACCTCCAGTTTTAGTGATTCCATACTTTTTTCCTCAGAATTGAATGATTCCATATTTTTTCCGTGCTTGGTCAATAAAAGTAACATTCACTGACTTCCACAATGTTTTCTCTTCATTTCTTTGAGTGTTCCTGAAAGCCAACAAGTTGCACTTTGTAATGACCTTATTATTGTATCATGTTTTTGATCTGAGTTTGTTTTACAGAAAGAAATGTCTGAATGAGTGTTCATCCAAGACTGGTGATTCCATACTTTTTGCCAGGGGTTGTAGCTTGATGGCCATATCTCAGTTTGATGTTTGAGATTTTAGGACTGAAAAATAGTTTGTATCAGTTTAAATGTCTTGTGTGTTCACAGCAGATAAACTACATTTCTGCATTTAACAGCTCACCACTCACTTTATTGTGTTTTTATGCTGAAGTTTTACAGGTGGTGAATTTGTAGCAGAGCGGTTCTACGTGTCGAAACATTAGGTGGTTTCTGTGAGTTACAAGTTTCTGTAAAATCACTGAAAACAACACAGCAATGTCCTGATATTAGACATTTTAATTTGTACTTTTGAGTTTTTAATGCATGTACTTTTGAATACTTAAGTATTTTCAAAAGTAAGTTCTTCTTTAATTTGAGTAGATTTTTGACAGAATAACTTTTACTTGTAGTTGAGTAGATTTGATCATGAGGATCAATATTTTTACTCAAGTACTAGAGTTGAGTACTTTGTCCACCACTGAGTAAATGTATTTAGTACAAACCTCTGGATTTGAATAATTTAAAACCTGGTAAAGACCTGGGGCCTCATGTATAAATGGTGCATACACATAAAAAGGTTTCGTGCGCCAGGTTCTACGCCCACATTGGGATGTATTAAAACCAATGTTGTGTGAAAGTGTGTAAATATACGCACACTTTTCACCTGCCGTGAGAATGTGCAGCAGCCACGCAAAGTTTTTCAGTCGACAGTTTTAACTCACAAAGTCATGAATCTGACCTGAATCCACAGAAATATGACTCTGCTGTGTTTTCTGGATGTAAGGAGCATCTGAACACGGTGTCAGATTTTTATTAGTTTGAGTTTTTATTGTTTAAACTCGAATGATCATGAAACTGAACCCCGGGACTGAAAATCATTTAACCTCAGACAAGAAAATACTGTAGATCAGTCTAAAAATGATCAAAGAACCTCAGTCCAGTCTGTAAACTGTTTTTATATTTTTCTCACATAGTTGAAAACCTTTTGGGTCCTGGGCCAGAAAAACGACACATTACGTGCGATATAAAAAAAATAATTAAAATAAAAAAGGCTGAAGAGAGGGAGCAAAATCAGATGCAAATGGTGTCTCACTGTACGGTAAGAATAATTATTTTTTCTGTGTGTAACCTTCTGGCTGATGCTGAGTTGAGTTGTGGCCGGAGCGCAGCAGCTGAGCTTTGGGTAGATTCTTGCGCCAGGTGTGTGCGCACCCTCGCCAGCTGGGAAGGTGTTCATATATGTCAACCCCTTTGGATGTTTACCTGTCGAATGAGCCTCAAAAATCTATATTTTTTGGTAAAAAACCTGTAGGCTGCCACTCGTACCCACGCGTGGCGGTGGGGTGGGGGTCTGTCCGTGGAGATGACAGCGCCTGCTGTAACGCAGGAGGAAAGGAGAGAGGAAAAAGTGGATAACTTGATGTTTTTTTTTTGTTTGTTTTTTGTTTTATTTTGTTTTGTTTTTAATGTCCGTTCAACGCCATGTTCAACTAAATATACAACTAACCAGGCTTCAACATCACATTCGGGAGATGTCTGTAAATTTCAGGAAAATCTCAGGCTTTGGTTATCCCGTGCAAATGCGTCAAACAATGACACTCCACTACTTAGACAGTTTTCTCACTCATTCTCCATTTAATGTATCATTTTCCTGCCTCTAAAAATAATTTCTGATCCCACAGAGAGGACAATCTGAGGAGAATCTCACACTCTGGACACATTTACATCTATTTTACATCTTTAGATGGAGGCGTGTCAGGGGAGGAGTCTCAGTTCCACGTTCTTTGGGATGTATAAAGGAAAGGTGCACACGAACCTGTGTGCATAGTTTTATACATCTGAATGTTTTAGTGCGGTGCACTTTTCTAAATTTCTCCGTACGTCAAATTTTAGTGTGAAAGCTACGCAATCCTTTATACATGAGGCCTCTGATCCATTTTACTGTTGATGCAGAAAACTGTGGAACTGATATGAAAAGTTTCTGTTAAACCTGTGTCGATATATTTATGACTGGATGGATAAAAAAGGTGGGATCTTGGTCAGTTTCAGTGAGCATGCAGCAAGACTTTAAAACTAAACATGGCAGTATGATTTAAAGGTCAAACATCAAAGAAACATGCACGCCTTTCATGGCGCTCAAAACAAAGAGAACAGAAAGCAGACAGAGGAGCAATCTGTGTGTTCAGCAAGCAACACAAAGATGATGGACGGCTGGACGTCAGGTGCTTCCTACTTACTTCCACATTGTTGTTTAGTGATCCTGCACTGCTGCGTCTCCCACGCTTTCCTGCCCACAACATGTGACATGACATGTTAGGCACGCCTGCTTAAAGGCCACAAACTCCTCCTACCATGGGAAGGAGCTAACACACTAAGGTGGCACAAGACTAGCTAGCAGCTGACTAAAACTGAAATAGAAATACACAGGAGTGGCCAAGCACGTAACAATCTGACAGGGTGCTAAATGACATCCAGCATGGCAGCAGAGCAGAAATATTTATGGAATAAAACTAAACTCAACCAATAAAATTACATTTGTACCATTAACTATTATAATTATCAGTCTGCAATTCAAAGAATGGAATATTACAATTAACAGTGAAAATTATGTCATGATAGCTCATAAATAATTGGAAATGTGACCTTTTCAGCAGCTGTACTTGTGGAAGTGAATTAGTGTAAAGGTTGTACTAATACCTCCTGTTTTTACAATACGCACAAGTAACAGTACAGAGTTGTACTAATAGAAGATGACAGCTACACAATGTGCACAGTGCTGTTAGTGGCTGCAGTGTTTCTCTGTTTCAGAGGTTTCAGTGGCCGGGCAGCAGAAAGCACTACAGAGAAGGTATCAAAACATTATCAGTGTCTCACAGCACAGCACACAGGACACAACAAACACAGTGATTTACGAGACAGAAATGTATTTACTTTTGAGTGAAAATCTCCTAAAAGAGAGAGATTTTAGCCTTAAAAGTCAGGAACTCTTTCATTTTTGATCATAGTTTGATCATTGTTTTAATTCTATATCAGACCTCATCCTCACTGAAATCTGAAGTTCTGTTCACCTGTTAAATGACTTTAAAACTCCAAGTTTCCAGTTATTTAACATAGTTTTTCATATAGTGGTCAAACCAAAAAGGTTCTGAAAACATCCTTTAAGGACTGTAGAAATCTGTAGGACAAACTAAACCCCCTTTAAACAGGGTTTCCCCTGGGATTTTATTTTTTTAATCGTGGTGGTGGGCTGTCTTTTTTGTTTTGGGGGGTTTGACACAGACATTTAATTACAAAACATGATTTATTTTATGCTAATCCGAATCAGATTAGTGTATTTTGTAAATACATTTGACAGTTTTGTAGGAATGAACACATTTATCATGTTTATTCAAAATAAACCTGCTTCTTATTACTTCTGTAACATGTTTAAAATAAAATATTATCAGTAAAATTCCTCAAATCATGTCCTGTTTCTACAAATTGTCTTTGTAACATTTCAGAAGAACTCGTTAACTCTTGTAGATTTAAAAGACAACAGTTAAAATGCAACTATCCAAAAAAAAACTTTCCTTCAATCACTGAAAATTAATTTATTTACCATATTTTAAATCTGGGCCCTAAAGGATTAATGCTCCTGAGACCATCTGTGCTGCGACTAACACACACACACACACACACACACACACACACACACACACACACACACACACACACACACACACACAC